AATTTTGTTCGTATCTGAAAAAAATCTTAGAATACGAAAACATTGGTGAATGTCACAAATTCTCCTAAGTCACTCGTACGCACAAATTAAGAACAAATCTGTGTGTACGAACGGTTCTTGCATGAGGCCYAATCTGAGGGCTGTGGGCCAAATGCAGTAAGAAATGCAAATACTTCTTCAGTGAAGTTGTTTTACTTTTTATGATTAAACTAGCAGCAAAGGCTCATGGGACTTTTCATAGTTTAAAATTTGAGTATATGTGGTCTTATAAGGTGTGCAAATCTAGATATGGGCTTAAATCCAATCTAAATATCTCTTGTTGTTACTTGTATTTTATATTTAATCTTAACATAGTTACAATGTAGTAACCAGGCCCAAATCAAATGGCTCGGTGGGCCGGGCCCAACTTTGGGCACTTGTGGTTTAGAGGTATTGTGTGAATTAACTTTTGGTTCAGGTTAAGGTTAAGAACAGAATAATAGTGGTTAATGCTAGGCTACATGTCTGGGTTAGGCATAAATAGTTACATAAAGGAATGGAAGTCAATACAAAGTTCTCAGTTTGATGCAAGTACAAGAATGTGTGTGTGTGTGTGTGTGTGTGTGTGTGTGTTTGTGTGTGTTTATTTCAGAGTACATTATTGCACAATGCACAATTGCACAAAACTGGTCTTTATCTCCTGAGACCAATTTCTCTCCTGGTGCAGTTTTTATCCACACAATGAGGTGTAAACAGTACACCAAATTGTTCTAATCAGGAAATCTGACTTTAGTCAGTTTGTGTTTTTTAAAGTCAGCTGGCTTGGCAGCCATCTTGAATTGGTTTGACTTTAAAAGTTYAAATTTTCTCAAACMTCAGTCAAGTGATTTGTTTTGGTGCAGATTGAGCTTTAAATTCACGTTAAGGTGATAAATGTAGGATTCCRAACTTTTACTGACATCTGATATTGTGTAAGAGGAACTACAAGTTGATAAACACAAGTATCTTTTAATGTATMTTTTGTCATTTTRAACATAAAACTATGAAAGCATAAGCCAAGGCCTACATGTTGAAAACAAATTAGAAAAATAAAAGCAATGAAAAACTGTAGTGAACTAAATAAAGCTATTTGTTTCCTGTAGGTGAAGTGAGCAGGGTTTGACAGGAATCATGTTTGTCCCCAAACATCAGGGATCCTCTGGTTGTGTGTCTGCCCTTCCTGTGCAGTGATTGGATAAAATGCTCTAAAGTCTACTGGCTGAGCMCTAACAGGACAGCCTGATGATAAAATGTGCAGAAAACACCACTGGACATTCAGATTCACAGCACGTTTGCACATAAAACAAAAACGGTGCAGTCTGCTATTTACAGGTTAGAAGAAGGCGTAGATATACATTATTGACCCCTCCTGCTTGCCGTACAAGTGACCGTGTGCTTCTGTGTGACCTGATTTTTGATGTCCAACAGTTCAAACTCTGCGCCTCTCCCCCCTCCTCCCCATCACTTCACTAC